AATCTCATTTAAAAATCTAATTTCCTCTGAACAGTGTTTCTGTCTAGACAGAGGTAAACCATATTTCTCTGGATGACAAATCCACTACACTGAGCTTCAGTGGGCTGTGGCAGTGCTTCACTCACTGGTTTGTCTTTAATAGTGGGGCTCGAGACACACAAGTAGAGTTTCCCGTCCTCCTCGATGCAGGCGTCAATGAGGGCCTGGACCGAACTCTCCTCCTGGAAGAGCAGGAAAGCATAACCTGCAGAAGGAAGAGCATGAGAGATGAGACAATCTCTGGCTGCACAGAGTCAGACTGCAGCCAAGACCAGAAGAGCTCAGAACAAAGGAAGCACATAACCGCTGCTGAGGACAGACACTGAACCGAGTCTGCATGTGAAGGAATAAAGACAACCAGTCTGAAACTAACAGTAACCATTCACTCATTCTGGTGATCAGAGGACTTAATCTCATGATGCATATGTAAATACACACTTAACATGCATTTAGAGAGCACATATGCTGTCTGTGAATTCCTGACGTCTATCATTCTCAAGCCCTTCTGAAGGAGTGTTTTTCCTCTAGAACACTGCAGTTTGACAACATCAGGATCAGAGCCAGCAGAAAGACCAGAGGGAAGAAACAAACGAGGCGTTCTGCCGCAGGGAAAGAGAGTAAACGAGTGTAAGGAGTCGAAAGAACAGAGAAATATCAACAACCTTGGGAAATTTAGTCAGATACATCAAAAGAAATCAGAGGAGTGTGTTGAGAGAGATTCATGAACAAGCATCAGATTTAAGAGTGCCAGAGGTTTCATCATTACAGCTTAAATATAATAAATAAATAAATAAAAATAATTTCAGATTGGATTATTCTACTCAGTTAGAGATTATGATGAATGATAAAGAAATGTGTCTTCATGGAACTATTAAAAGTAAACATTTAAATATAATATTAAATATACTTAAAAATGTAAATATATTTAATAATAATTATTATTATCTCCTGAGTTTAAATATAATAACTAAATCCCTAAAAATACATTCAGATGGGATTATTCTAGTCAATTAGAAATTATGATGAATAATAACAAAGATATTTGAGAGATTTTTGTCTTCATGGAATTATTAAATCATGTAAAGAAATTTAAATGTAATAACATACATAAATATATAATTAAATAGATTTTACATACTAAATATATTTTTAAATATACATTTAAAACTATGTTTTAACTTAATAAATTATTTACCATTTTTATGCTTGCAAACAAATAATTAATCAGAATAAACAGCAACTTTTGAATGGTTTGTAGTAAAAACAATGGCTTTTGTTATGATTGTGTAATTCCTGCATCCTCCAGCAGGGGCTAATTGGACCATGTTAACCAGCTAAACCTTGGCTTCACTTCCTTCCTGCTTTCCAGCTGGTTTCTGAACAGAAGGAGCTCTTAAATAAATCTCAGTGTTACTGATAAGCGTATAACAGCACCTGAAGAAGGCATTTAACCCTATTTAATGTGTTTCGAGCCTCAGCGCTGACCTCAGCCCTGCCCACTGTGAGTCATGATGCTTTACACAACACTGGATGGAAAAATAACCAGCATCTTCCATTCACTCAGTCTGGATCAGTGTTTCATACGAGCTGGAGGAACAATGAGCACATCTGCAAACAGCAGTTACACACGGTGACTGGACAGCGCAGGCATGAGGACTACTGCGGCCCAAATAAAGAAAATCCATACGTGCAGACCATTTTACAGAGCAGAAATCTCATAAATTAAGAAAAACACAGTGGCCTCAAAAAGTACTTGGACACGTAAACCGTTCTTAATGTGTGAAATCACTGCATTATATAACAAAACATCAAACCAAGTGACTTTTTTTTCATAATAACCTCACCAGACATTTTCATCACGGAGCACAGGACTTTTAACTATAAAATTCTAGAAAATTTTTTTAATTAATTTTATTCATTTTTAATTAATAGCATATATGACACATGGATTTCTTTCAGTTAAATATTTTAATTCAAATTCTTTACATAATAATAATAATAATAACAACTTAATAATTTAATTAAATATAATCATTATAAATTTATATATATATACACAGTCATGGCCAAAAATATCGGCACCCTTGGTAAATATGATCAAAGAAGGCTGTGAAAATTAATCTGCATTGTTAATCCTTTTGATCTTTTATTTAAAAAATTCACAAAAATCTAACCTTTCATTGGATAATAAGAATTTAAAATGGGGGGAAATATCATTATGACATAAATGTTTTTCTCAAATACACATTGGACACAATTATTGGTACCCCTAGAAATTCTTATGAGTAAAATATCTGTGAAGTATATTCCCATTCATATTTACAATTTTGAGCATACCAGTCTTTGATCATATTTACCAAGGGTGCCGATATTTTTGGCCATGACTGTATATATGTGTGTGTGTGTGTGTGTGTGTGTGTGTGTGTATGTATGTATTAGGGATGCACGATATTATCAGAACGTTTTCGGAATTGGCCGATAATGGCTTAAAATGTAAACATAGCTTTGGGCAGGTATGAAAAATTATGCTGATATGCCCTGCCGATAAGATGAATACCTCATCGGTAAGGCTTTTTATTTACTTAGGGGGCGCTGTTGGCCTACTTGTATTAAAATGAAGTAAAATACACAACATTAAGATTGTGTTTCTGATTAAATAAAGCAGTAATTTATGTCATAAAATGAGTATGTTTTGATTTATAGGTCAGAAGCTATAGCTTTCATGAATAAAAATCACAAACATGACACTTGTAA